CCCCAAAACCCCAAAACCCCAAAACCCCAAAACCCCAAAGATACATAAAAGAATTGAGAGATGAAAGTATTCTAAAAAGATTACTATTTCCAATCAATAATTAACCTTTACTGAATCGATTCACCATTTCTGTGAAATGCGAATTCTTGTTTCTAAGAAGCTCTTCAGGTGTCCCAAACTCCATTAGTTCTCCAAAACTCAAGACTGCAATCTTGTCGCTCTTCATGATGGTGTTCAGTCTGTGGGCGACTGTGATCACAGTGGAGTCTTTGAACTCTTGCTTCATCAGCTTCTGAACTGTCTCTTCAGTGTTGACATCAATGCTTGCAGTGGCTTCGTCCATGATCACAATTTTGTTCTTTCTGAGGATGGCTCTTCAGATGCACACAAGAGCTTTCTCGCCAGCGCTTAGGTTGGACCCTTTCTCGGCCACACTGAAGTTAAGTCCGTCAGCGGTTCTGTTCAAGAGGTGGCTGAGATTGGCTCTGTTCAACAGTTTCTGTATTTCTGAATCTGAATGCTGACATTTAGGGTCGAGGTTGAATCTGAGAGTGTTCTTGAATAGCACTGGTTCTTGTGGAATAATGGTGATTCTGTCTCTGAGGTCAGCTAGACCCACTGTAAAAATGTCAACATCATCAATTTCAATTGACCCTTTAAGAGACTCAAGAATTCTACACAGTGCTAGACAGAGAGTGCTTTTACCAGCTCCAGTTCTTCCAACAATTCCTATTTTCTGGGCTGGCTCAATTTGGAAGGTGATGTTTTTCAACACAATGGGAGTGTCAGGTCTGTAACGAACAGAGAACTGTTTGAAATGGATTTTACCTTGACTGATCCAGGGTTGATTATTTTGGCTGATTGGGAGAGGAAGTTGTTGAGGAGCTTCTTGAGGAATCTCCATAAATTTTTTACACTTATAAAATGACACTAGTCTCTCATGAGCCCACGAAGCATGATAAAACATTGCTCCTACATCCCACTGTAATTCAAAAATATATGTTATTAGCATTCCTGTCATGAGGCTATTTTGAGGATCACGATAAAGAATACAATAAATCATTTGAAAGAGAATAAAAATCATAGCAACAGCATTTAATCTCATATTCATCCAACAGTTTAGACCAGTAGAAAGAATTCCAACCGAATATTGTTGATCTATTAGTGTAAATCTCTCACTTTCAAATTCTTTAACTCTGTTGAATGCTCGAATAGTTGAAACACCATCAATTGACTCTCCAAGATGAGAACTTGCTGGAGAAGCTGTAGCAATCTTAAGTTTTCCTACTTGAACACTTCAATTTATAAATTCTTTCATGAGGGTGATGTAAATAGCTATTGAGAAAGGGAAAACTACAATTCAGATAGGAGCATTTGTTGCAATGAAAGTAAAGGTTATCCCGATAAATATCAATCATCTTAAAATCTGTTTAATAGTGTCAGGTAACTCTCTACTTGCATAATTCAGGTCAGATGAAAGCCTTTTGTTGATAATTCCTCAAGGTGTTTTATCAAAGAATAAGTTGATTGGAGCATTTAACATTCTTGAGAGCATTGTGTCAAACAGATTCTTGCCAATAATATAGTTCTGATAAACTTCAACAATCCACCCAGATAAGTCAACAAATAAAACTACAAATGCAACATAGAACACTGTGTACAGAATCTCAGAGTCAGCAGTCTGTGTCACTGAGAATTCTCCCACCCACTTCAGCATCAAGTAGTCTGCCTTGATGGTCCAGAGCCTCACAAATGTGAGGATTCCGACCGCGATCAGGATGAAGAACAGCCCACTTTTAAGATACGTGAAGTACTGCAAGTAGATTGATGGAGACAAGTCAATGTCTTTGTCATCATCTCTTTCAAGCAATATTTTCTCTTTAAGACTCAGATAATTCTTCTTTTTGTGTCCAACTTCATCAGAGTCTTCATTTTCACTTGAGTTTTGTTCTTCGTCTTTCTTGTCCTGAGCCTCCATTGTATGCATGATTTTCCTGAAATAGCTATGCTCCATCAGCTGTTGGTAACTCCCATTGAGCTTGACTCTGCCTTGCTCCATGACGATGACTCTGTCAACTTTGTCCAAGAAGTCGACTGCATGAGTCACAATAACTCGGGTGCGGTCTCGGAGTTCTCGGCAACACACTTCATCGAAGATAAGCTTCTTGACATGGGAATCCAGCGCTGATAGCGGATCATCCATCAACACTATGTCTCTGTCGGCATACAATGCTCGAGCAATGCTGAGTCTGGCTTTCTGTCCACCGCTGAGTGTGATGCCTTTCTCTCCGACATGTGTGAGGTCTCCAGCTTCGAAGACTTCAAGATCTTTTCCTAGCTGAGCTGCTTCTACCACTCGGTTGTACCTGGCTTCATCAAGAGGACGACCGAACAAAATGTTTTGTCTGATGGTCTGGCTGAGAACGAAGGGTTTTTGCTCAACCAAACTTACAGAGCCGGCCACTCGAATTCTGGGTCGAACATTCTTGACATGTTGGTTTCTGAAATCCATGACATCTTCTTTCCTCACAAAAGTATTGCTGTTATTTGCTGAATGGCCATTATCTTCATATGCATTACTGATTTGTGTGTGGCCATATTTCATGAGAGTTTGGTCATCAACATAAAGGGTTTCTTTGAGAAGAGTTTTAATGAGAGAAGATTTGCCAGAGCCTACATCTCCGATGATAGCTACAAATTCGTTTTTCTTAATGTCAAGTTCAATATCTTTCAGTATAACAGCATTGTTCATAGTCTGTCTTGTATCTACCCTCTTTATATTTGACTTAAATGACTCATTTTTAACTTCAATCTTTTTTGATTGATTATTACTTCTCTGTTCTATTTCTTGGGATTTTTCAAATATTTCTTGGTCGAATCTTTGCCTTAATTTCTTATCAAATTTATTTTCATTTTTGTCATTTGCATCTTCTCTATCTCAATGATTAAGTCCCCAAAAGAAATTAGATTGCTGAATTTCAATTGAATTCTTTGATACTTCTGGATCAATTTCTTCTATCATTGTTGTTTCTATCTCTTTGCTTTGTAAGAACTCTGTCAGCCTCTCCATTGAGACTTGAAATTCAGCAAATTTTTGGGCAAAATTTGGTATCCATTGTGTATGCCATTTAACTTTCACCAAGAGTCTCCAGATAGCCATTGATACAGGAATTGAAAGCTTCATCTTGTAACCAAGGACTCATGTACAGAAAACACTAAGAACCATCAAATAGTAGGATAAGTAATGTAAAATATGAGCCGGCATTTGCAGTAACTTGCTATAAAAATCATTGTAATGCTCCTTCTTCCTCAGTTTACTTAGTTTCTCCTCAAAGCAGTGTGTCCATGAGTTCATTTTGAGGACTTTGATGTTATCGATGATCTCGCTGAGCACTGTTGCTCTATCATCATCGTCTTTTCTCTTTCGTTTCTCTAACTGCGCAACGAATATATTCACAAAATATACAAACACAGCTCCTGCAATAATAATGCCAAGAGGAATCCAGATTATATGGCCAATGTACAGATAAAGGTAGAAAAATGTTGTGACTATTAGCATTGGCATTATTGCAATTTGAGTGGCTTCATGAAATACATTTGATATTCTGACACAATCATCATCTATCATATTTTGAAGTTGGCCTTTCTGATATTTTCCTATTTTTAGAAATTAAAAAATTGAAATTTTGAAATGATTTTATGATTGGACATTTAATTACCTTCGCGAATTCTGAATATTTTTGAATACGCAAGAGATGAAACTGCTGCTCCCACTCTTTCACCACATCTGAGCTGCTGAGTATTCTGAAGCATATGGAAACCTCTTGCTGTAAACTCCATCCCTGCTATTGCAAATGCTCAAATAATCGCCCAAAGCATGCTCTCATCTCCTCCATCAATGTAAGAAAGTACCTCTGCTTGGACATGGAAATTAATAATCTCAGTGAAGATTCACCCCCAAGTTCCTACTAATCAAGCTGCAAATCTCCATTTGTAAAGTTTCCAAAGGATCTTTATGATCGAGTTGCTATCAATCTGCTCTTGTGCTTCCCATTCCTTCCTAAATCTATTATAATGAGTCTCTGTTCTGTCTTCTACTTCAAGAGTGCCGAGATCTTTGATCTTCAGCTCTTGAAGACCTGATTTCTACAGGATTAGTGGGTATCTTTACTGTCATGAAGTCGGTCATCCATGTATAAGTCCAGAATTGAGACCAATGCTTTTTCCTGTATTTTCTTAACAAATCTATGCCTTTATCCTCCCTCTATAATATCTTAATTCCCCCGTAACCAGGTATTAAACCAAACTCCATACTTCCATCATAAAATATAATTTTTATAAACCCTCTAAATCAATTTCTTCACATCTCCAAGGGGTTTTGGGGTTTTGGGGTTTTGGGG